ACAAAGTCAGCTGCTGTGTCTTCTTCTTCCGGTTTTTGCAAGTAATGGTTAATTTCCTGTTCGTTTACTTTTTTGCTTTTTCATCTCTTTGGGAGAGAATTTTCGCTTACTCTCTTGATTTTGATTGTTGGCTGGTGTTGGCTAATTTTGTTATCGAACGCAACTTATGATTATGCGCCATGGTTACGGTGACCATACGTCCTATATTATACGAGACAGTCCTCTTTTTTACCCATTGTCCTGGAAATTTATTTATTTTATACGGGACGCCAAATGTTCTGTATTCCTTTTAATGGCCGGTATTTGTCCCGTATTCGGTGTTTCGACGCCTTAACATCTCATTAAAATGGTATACCTCTGAAACAGTGTTGGGAAATGAAATTGTTCCTTCAGAACGAAATCTATACAAAAACTCTACTTTTGCTCAAAGTCTGGTTGACACAAATCATCGGTTAACATCGACTCCATACATATAACACGGTAGAGGTAACATAAACGTGTATGCACATATTTTAACGTGAACTTCTTAACAAACACTTTTTTTTTAAGTTATTGGCTGCATTTCTTTATTCATTCTGAACGTTTGGAATAAACTTTTTTGTTTACTTATTCTCTAGAACGTTCCTGATGATATGTTAACGTATATTTCAAACGCATTCTGTTTATTCCGGCTGTGAAATGGGATTATCCGGAATGTATAAAGAAACGCAGCCATTATGAATGGATAAAAGAGACATAATCTTTGAATTCAGTACTAACAGGTCTATTCTGCACGTTACCAAAGATTTTGTAACCGGAAATTTGTATTACCAAAAAATGTTAGCAGTTCTTGTCACCGCGTTTCTAGTTACGTTAGTAATGCAGTTAAAATATTCAGCAATTCAGCTATGAAGAATTGTGGAGATTCTGGCATTGCATATTTCACGGGGCAATACTTTGTTACCAGCTTATGAGATGGTAACAAAATTTACCGCTAACAGGTCTATTCTGCGCTGGTTACATAAATTTTGTAACCAGTAATTAAAGTGTGTCAATTTTTAAACCTTTTTCGCATTCTGTGCTCTCTTATAACCGGTAAATTTGGATACCATCTCATAAGCTGGTAACAAAGTATTGCCCCGTGAAATATGCAATGCCAGAATCTCCACAATTCTTCATAGCTGAATTGCTGAATATTTTCACTGCATTACCAATGTACCTAGAATCGCAGTGACAAGAAGTGGTAACATTTTTTGGTAATACAATTTTCCGGTCCCAAAATCTTCGGTAACGTGGTACAGGTCTATTCTGCGCTGGTAACATAAAGTTTGTAACCGGTAATTAAACTGTGTAAATTTTTAAACCTTTTTCGCATTCTGTGCGCTGTTGTAACCGGTAAATTTGGTTACCATCTCATAAACTGGTAACAAAATATTGCCCCGTGAAATATGCAACACAAGAATTTCCACAAATCTGCATAGCTGAACCGGTGAATATTTTCACTGCATTACCAACGCCGCATACTTTAGTGGTAAAAGTATCCGAAAAGGGAATCTTTAAACGGACAAAAATCCGCATTTCATCCACTTTTTTTCTTTTACAGACCCAATTTCGGATTTTTTTCTGGCTGGTAAGCGAACAAATTTAGCTATCAATTTGGTTGCATTTTCAAAATATTTTTGCCTACCGAAAGCTTCATCAAACCAACCAAACTACCAAAAGAAAGGCCTTTCTACTCCCGTATTTATACAAACCATTTGACTCCAGCGAAGCATCAGCATGGGTTCCGTAAAGTGCACAGCACAACAACAGCACTTAACGCCATAAATACCCAGATAACTCGTGGCCTAAACCGAAAGCGCCCCTGGACCTGTCTAAGGCGTTCGACACTGTCAGCCATTCAACGTTACTAGAAGACATAGATCCCACAGGGATCCAAACGGTGGTCGGCGAATTATCTGAGTGGTCGTCACTCGTCAGTAACTTTTAGAGACAAATCGAGCAAACCGAGGAAAATAAAACAGAGGGTTCCACAGGGTAATGTCCTTTCCCCATTACTGTTTAACTTTTACATTTCAAAGCTCCATCAACCACCAGAGGGAGTCTCGACTGTCTCTTATGCTGACGATTGCTCGATCATGGCGTCCGGGAACGGAATTGATGACTTGTGCTCGAAAGTAAACGGTTATCTCGCCGAGCTTTCTCGCTTCTTCACTGCATGGATCCTAACCCTCTCCCCTACAAAATCCTCAGCCACACTTTTTACCATCTGGACGAAGGAGGTCAGACTTGAACTGGGAATTCACGTCGATCATACACAAATTCCGACGGTGAACAACCCGAAGATACTCGGAGTAACATTCGATAGTCTGCTCTTCTTCTCGGCGCACACAACCGCAATTGTCAACAAAGTATAAAGCCGCAACAAGGTCCTCAAGTCGCTAGCCGGCAGCACCTGGGGCAAAGACAAAGAAACGTTGCTGGCAACGTACAAGGCAATTGGCCGACCGGTTCTGAACTACGCTGTGCCGGTGTGGTCACCGGGGACTAGTAGGACGCAATGGATGAAGCTGCAGACTTGCCAGAACACTGCACTTAGGACAGCGACAGGATGCCTCTTGATGTCGCCGCAACACCACCTGCACAAGGAGGCCCACATGCTCCCTGTTAAGGAGCATAACATAATGCTGTGCAGGCAGTTCCTGGTTGGAAGCCACAGACGTGGCCATCCAAACAGGCAACTCCTTGCAGAAGAGCATCTTTACGAACTGACGGATGAAGTCCAAAGGTTCATCAAACAACCTCTGGACCCAACAGCTTATCGACAGGCCTTAACATCATTCACAAAGAGGCAGTGTCAAGTTATGTAGACTCCCGACCTGTGAACGTCGTTCTGAGCACACAACCACCCGACGTGGACGAGACCAAACTTCGTCTGCCTCGGGAGACTCGGACCACCATAGCCCAACTGCGCTCTGGTTACTGCAGCAGGTTGAACTCATACCTGAGCAGATTAAACGAAGACATTCCCAACGAATGCCCGGCATGCGGAGTGTCGCCCCATGACTCACAGCATCGTATGCGCGCTTCCTAGGGCTGTCGTTAGTGGAGCTTGATGACAACGATTGAGGGACTAACCGATCTGGGCGGGGTTGTTGTAGCCGCTACAACAACAACAACCAAAAAAAAAATTAAGCTATCAATTTCGGTCCAATTTGACCAAAACGGCAACGCTGAATACAACTGTTATTTTCACTGAGACTAAACGGTGAGGGCTTCCTTGGTGACGATTCGGAGCCGTTACGGAATTGTGACGTGATTGATGTATGTGAAGAGACCTTTAAGATTAATACGGTGTTCGCATGAGGCGATTTCCCAGGCGATTAGGTGAATCAAAAGTTTACTGCACCCGAACTTCATTGGAAGCGATTAGTTGAAAGGCCGATCACACCAGGTGATTCTGCGACGTCTCCAATGAAACGCCACTCCACATCCTCATCGAGTGTGATGCAGTCAGCAGAAGACGTGAGAGGAGTCTAGGTCGTTCCCACGACAGTCGGGTCTACGTAACCGGAACGACCCAGATTTACATCTGGCCAAGGACTGTCACTCCAGCAACACTCCCCAAAAAGTCTTTGGGGAATTTGTATGCTGCTACAGCAACAACAACAACAAGAGGAGTCTAGGCTCCATGTGGCCACAGTTAGAGCACATATACTACTTATCCCCAAATAAGCTTTTGGACTTCCTGGGGGATCTTGGAGGAAGTATTGTGAAGAGTGGAGGGCACAATAGACCATCAGGTCGCAGGGCATACCTCATAATTTATCTATCTACACCAGGCGATTTTTGCTTCCAACTAAAAGTTGCCTGTAAAATCGCCTCATGCGAACATCGTATATCGGTATCATTCCAGTCCAGTGCCGAGCTGGATCATTGCACTCGCATGCTAGAACTGGACGTCTTCGTCGATGGCGCCAAAATACCGACGACCAACCACCCTAAAATCCTAGGAGTGACGTTCGATAGCCTCTTCTCCTTCTCCGCGCACGCCACAGCCACATGCAACAAACTGCGAGCCAGGAACAAAGTCCTAAAATCGCTAGCCGGCAGCACCTGGGGAGCCAACAAAGAAACCCTGCTCGCGACCTACAAGGCAATCGGCCGGTCAGTGGCTAACTACGCGGCACCAGTGTGGACGGCGGGGACAAGCGACACCCGATGGAGGAACCTCCAAACCTGCCAGAATGCAGCTCTACGTACGGCTACAGGTTGTCATCTCATGTCGTCCGAGCATCACCTACATGAAGAAAGCCAGATGCTGGCGGTGAAAGAGCACAACACCATGCTGTCGAAGCAATACCTCGTGGGCTGTCACCGAGGGAATCACCCCAACAATGCCTTGCTTCGTAACGAACCGCCCCTACGACACGTGAGACGACACCTGCATGACTGGAAAGCGGACATTGAGCCGTACGTAGACCATCCATTCGACGCAGCAACATACAGAGCGGCGCTCAACAGCCTACACAGCGATGCGGTCAGAACGAGCCTCAATACGCGTAATGACAACATCGTCTTGGGCGGTCGACCGCCGCCCATAGACCCAGAAGAAATAGAGCTGCCGAGAGAGACCAGGTGCACCCTAGCACAACTCCGTTCTGGGTGGTGTCACCGACTTAACAGCTACCTCTCTCGGCTGAACACACAAGTGGCAAACACATGCCCTGCATGTGGGCAAGGTCCTCACGACACCCAGCACCTCTTCACGTGCACCTCCAACCCTACGACCCTGACACCAGAAGCGCTCTGGACCGCGCCTATCGACGCAGCCCGCTTTCTCGGCCTCAGGCTCACAGAGTCGGAGGATGAAGACGACGACACATGACAAATCTGGGGGGTTGAGCACTGCTGCTACAACAACAACAACAACTCGCATGCTACGTGAATAATGAGATCCGGGCAATAAGGTGAGGAGTTATTTTGTAAACTGTTCTCTAAGAATGTTAATACATATTTACCTGTTTTATGATTTGACGCCAAGCACACTTCAACAACTTGTACCCCCAATTCGTAATAGAAATCACCTATTCCGAGGACACTCCAGAAGCCCTTGCCGGTAGCAAGGGGATCAACTCCGATCGCCGCACACATTTCCTGAAATTGTTTACGAAACTGCGAGTTTTTGCGGATATCCTGCTTATGTTTCACCGCGAATTCTTCTAACTTTGTACGAAATACGTCCATCTGTTTGGACATTTGCTCAAACTGTGATTCCTGCAAATCTGTAAATTTATCCTTATACTTCTCAGCAGCTAACTGCTGTTGTTGAATGGCACCTAGACCGGCACGGCGACGCATTTTTAAAGGTGTCGGTTTGGTTAGAGCACTGCTCCGCCAGAAATAGACGGGTCCTTTCTTTTTCAATGCAGCTTTTTTCCTTGATTTGAGTAGGTGTGAATGCAAATTCTTTGCTACAATTTTGCCAAACCTCTTTTGCAAAATGAAAAGCAACAGCNGCACGGCGACGCATTTTTAAAGGTGTCGGTTTGGTTAGAGCACTGCTCCGTCAGAAATAGACGGGTCCTTTCTTTTTCAATGCAGCTTTTTTTCTTGATTTGAGTAGGTGTGAATGCAAATTTTTTGCTACAATTTTGCCAAACCTCTTTTGCAAAATGAAAAGCAACAGCTGATTGGCTTTGGTCCAAGGCGAATTTATANATCGATGCCAGTTTCAGCGATGTTTTAACATCGAATTATGCTCCTAAAATGTTTTGACTGGCCATGAATTTTTATATATTTTTTCCNTTATTTGCTTTTACACGTTTCAATTCTGTTGAATTCAAGTCTTTGGTTCTTTAAATGGGAAGCAACGAAAATGCCAAAAGCAAAGCAAGAAAGTTGAAACGACTTGACGGTACAGACGCATGTGTACTCGTCCCTTTTCTTCTCACCCCCTCTCTGCCATGACCGAGCAGAATTGAATTCAATACTTGAACTGTGTAAAAGCACACTTAGTATCCAGTAGCCCGTTTCTGTAACTTTTGGCTTTCTGCACATTGGTTGTCCAATCATAGTTGCTTCATCGTCACAATCATAATGCACNGAAACCATCGATATATCGATGTTTTTCTGGCGATGTATTTTAGAATCGATATTCATTTTTCCGATGCATCGAAACATCGATGTATCGATGTTAAACTATGTTCACATATCAATATTATCTCAATCAAAGCTCGTTTTTTAATCACCCCGTTTACACAGGCAAATCTCAGATTATTAGCCGTCA